AAAGAACATTTTTTATTATTGAGACGTTTCAACAGCAAAATTTGACTTTGTCAGTCAAAAAAAAAAAAAAATAAATAAATTAACAAATAGGTATAACTGCACAAGAACGACACTGCAGCATTTACACTCTTTAATATGTCATGTCAATTCGATGTATTAGTATAGAATATTGTTCTTCTAGAGTTGTACTAAAATAACTTTTAATGAAATTAAAAGTACGTATTATTATAATGATCGTTTTATATTTTATTGAAAGTACCTCCATATCTATCGAATCGACTTACACTAAAAACAACTGTCTCGATCCATCACTGTCTTTCACTCTGTTATCATTTTCATTTTCTCATTTAACAAAATGAATCGAATGTCAAACAAAAAAATAAAAATAAAAATAAAAATAAAAAAATCGAATACCATTAGTTTGATTAAATTGATATTGTAATTGATTTGTAAAAGCAGTTTGTTTTCCATGTTGTGTTCTTAGAAGTGTTAATTCATATTCTAATGTTTGTCTTAACATTTCACTTTTTTCTAATTCTGATCTTAATCGTGCTAATTGACTTTCAACATGAATTAACTAAAAGTAAAATATATTGTTTTTTTCTTAATATTAAATCTATATAAATTTAACTTGTCTATTATTTGATGTTATTTCATTTAATTTTTCTCCTTGAATATCAAAATTTCGTCTAATATTATCAATATTTGTATTATCTTGATTTATTTTATTAATTGACATATCTGATAGAAATGAATCCGATTCAAACTAATATTTATATTAATCAATATTTATTCATTTATTTTTTAATAATTAAACTTACGTCACTTGTTAATGTTAACATTTTTATATTAAATTATATTTAATATAATTTAAATTATTCAAATCAATAAACCATATTAAACTTATTGACAATTATCATGGAAACAAGAATAATCCTCTATTTCATTTTAGTTTTATTAGATTTTCATTTCCTGACATCTATCGGTTTTTATTTTTTTTTATTTTTTTTTTATTTTTTTGTTTGACATTCGATTCATTTTGTTAAATGAGAAAATGAAAAT